ATTGCTGAGTGCATTTCTCAGGGTAGTCTTTGTGGTGTCGTTGGGCTTATTTAGTTTGCAATGGTGTTTAGTTTATGAAGTTGTAACAAGGATGGATGGAAAGACTAGGGAGACAACTTGGGAGATCATAGCGTGCTATTTAAAGCCACTTAATGAGAAGAGATGTCATCTAAGGACAGATAGCACCAAGAGAAGGGTCAAGGAGAGTCCTCAGAAAGTAATCTTGTAAAAGTGTAACAGGGGACGGGTGAGGCAACAAAGGCAAGTGGAATGAGTGGAAGCAAGGAGTAGGAAAATCTGATTGTGTGATTACCCAATATTACATGGAAATTTTCCACAGAGTGAAATAAATCAAACTTGTCAAAAATTATTGAGAAATAAAAGATGAAGACAGTACTAATAACTGGTGAACTGTCCTGTCTTCTAATGTGATAACCTTCCCAGCTTGGGCTACCTAACTTTCATCTGTTCGTAGAGTTCTGAGTATCAGGGAAGCAATTCTATCTTTCAGTCTGTGATTCACATTTTCAGGATTTCATTTAACCTTACTAACCTAATTCTAGTTGTTGTCTTGCTTCTCGGTTACTAGGGTGTATATATGTCCCAGTTTGCTCAGGAAAGTCTCAGATAATAGTACTCCATTTTGTGATCAAAAGTGCATGATAAGTGATATGGTTACGCTCTCATCCTGTGCATCTGAAGCAAGGAAGGCAGGAATTGGTTATAGAGAAAATATATTCTTTTTATAGAAAGTGTGTAACAGTATTTGCTGACTTTTTGACTTGCAAAATAGCTGATTCCTCTGAATACTGTAGAGATTGGAAGTTCCAGATATAAGTTGATAGTGACAGGTCTGCTTAGGTGAGGTGAGCTGCTCCAAACTGAATTTCACTGTGTATGGCATTGAATGTTAAGAAAAAATATTGCATTCCTGTCGCTTATGCATAATAGGCTCAAGAGATTGCTCATTAGTTTTTTTTCAACTTGGCTCTGGATTGGTTTCAGGACTTCCCAATCTTAAACCATTGCACATATTGAACATGATAATATATTTGTGTGCACAGGAATAACTGTATCAGGTAATCGCTTAGCTGGAAGACAAGGGAACTTAGCACATGAGTAACCTATTTTACAGGATAGTAGTGTGTCAGAAGGGAAACCTGGGTGAAGAAAAGTGCTCCTTAGGAAGAAGGGAGGGTGATCTGAACCATTTTACAAAAGGCACGGTGATAAAATAACCACTGTGATGAAAGAGTCAAAGTAGCAGCTCAGGAGTGAAACATGTTTCCTAGTGAAGCCCCACTTAAATCAGTAAAGAAGGGAAGGTGCTTGAGAAGGACATTTCAATTACAAGTTAGTATCCTCTATCACCGCTATAAGAAAAAAATGGTGATGTTCCCAAGGCCACTCTTTAGGAGAATGAATAATACATGTTGATGGATATTTAGCCCTTCTAAGATAAAGTTAACAGATTAGCGTAAATCAAAAATATTTATGGGCTAGGTCTTCCATGAGTTCTTGTTCATAGTTCTAAGATTCTAAAAAGAAAGGGAAAAAAGCTGTTATAAACAGTGCAACCTACTTTCGAACTTCTCAACATTAGGTTCTATGAACTATTACCTGTGATAATGCTTGTATGAGGTGGAATTGGCTTATCTTCTAATTTTGGAGGGTATGGGTATAGAGCTGCAAAAATCATCTGTCTTACTAACACTTGGAATTCTTCAAAGTAAGACTAGAGAAACTTACTACTGAATAATTCAGTAACTCAATTCCTACAAGACTACACTGATTCCAGGGAAAGAGTCAAAGCTTCAACTACTAATAATAACAGCTGATTCTGAGTATAACTGGAATGTTGGGAGGGAAGTCATTTTTGAATGTTAAGTAACTCATAAAAACAAGGTACCTAGAGTTTATACTTTAGTTTGGGACTTTAAAGTTGCTCTTTAGCTTCTAAAAGCTTTAACTTTGAGATTCAGTCTCTAACATAATTTCATAATGGAAAGAATTTTATATTCAAATCTGGGGCATCACTTAAAATGGTGATATTTTATTGTTGGAATATCTTGTTAGTGTTATTTGATCTCACTGCAGAACACATAGTTGGCCTTATTGGATAATATGATTGGATGTAATTCAGGATGGAAAATATGATAGGCAATGAAAGCTTATGACTTTGAGTGTAAAGTAGATATGTTGGGGTTGGGGATACTGATTAATCTTTTGCTCAGTGAGATGACAGTTTTTTACTAAACCCATCTCCTGTGTAGGCTTCACATTGCTTGTTCTTTGATTCCTAGCAGATGACTGTTGTGCTGCTATTTAAAGAGACACTCTGGATTCAGTGTGAACTTATGGTTAATGGTCTTTTCACCCAAATACTTGCAAGAACTCACTTTGATTTTCTTTAATGTCGTCACTGGAAAGTGCTTAGCCTAGCATTAACTTATGCATTTAATTACATGATATAGATTTTACTTCAGTCTAGTCCTGGACTAAACTTTGCTTCTTTTCATTCAAATATCTCAGTGCCATCCAAGACTTGGCCCTGATCACACAGTGGTCTTGCCATGGCCTGAGTCTTTCAGTGTGACTCGAACTATAGCAGACAGTTGAGTGTTTGTGTCCTATCTGAATTTCTTGAAGAGGGTAGTTTGACTTGATTTATAAAATGATGTTAGCTATGGAAATATATAGAGTAAAAAGATGAAAATAAAAAGTAAGTTTATTATTCAGAAGAACAACATTTTATATCCCCAGGAGTAAGGTAGTGGGGGTATGATGTTCCCCACCTCGACATGCCTGCAGCTGGGAGTGAGGGGCAGAGCTTGGTGACCAGTGGTGAAGCTATGTAACTTGGAAATTTGTTGGCCTGGTAAAGCTACGTAACTATGGAGACAGGTGGGCTCGGAGAAAAGGGGGAGAGCTTTTGTTTCTGCAATCTGACTTGAACCCTGGCACTTCTGGGAAAGAGACATGCGAGGACACATGTGGAGGAGAGACATGTAGAGACATTTGAAAGAAACATATGAGTGGGAGGACATGGGGAAATGGATGACAGCGGCGACTATTGTCTTGATTTGTACTTTGATTTTGCCCCCTTTGTCCCAGCTTTCTGGCTTTTGCTTCCCAGTCCCCTTTCCTATGGTTCCCTGCCTGAAGGTGCCTTAGGGTTGTGGCAAGATTTTGGACATTTGGTGGCCAAGATTTTGGACCTTGGTTGCTTCGGGCTGACCCTGTTTGACTGGGTGTACAGGCAGGATGGGCACGGAGCAGGATTTCCTATGATCCAAGCAGACTGGGTAAAGGAGAGTCCTGGAGCCCTTGGTGGCTTTCTTAGGCTTTTATTGAGCTTTACATGTAGTGTGGCAAACAGGTACACGGCAGGCAGGGGGGCCGGGGGACCAGGAGGCCAATAGGCCTCCAAGCCCCAGACAAGTCTTCACTCTGGGCTTCTCTGGCTTCTTTCTCCCCTTCTTTCTCCTGCCTCTTCTGCTTCTCTTGGTGACTATCTCAATACCCTTCCCATGGCCCACAGAAGTAAATAAGATAGCTTGCAACAATGTAACAACTGCAGGTACCCCATCAGGCTGGGCAATCCTAATGGTGGGAGGGTAGAAAAGCCTGAAACCTATTTACCCTACACTGGGCTTTTGCCCACAAGGGGATGCATAGTTTTGGGAAAAATGTTTTCTCTTGCCTCCCTATGCACATCAATTCTGTTTTGGTTCCTTCATACTAAGAGTCTCCTTTGCCTTTGTGTGCATGGATGGCCAGATCACTTTAGAGCATGCAAGTTTGGGGGGCCCTGGGTAGCCCATGGTTGCACACTAATAGTAAGTACTGAGAACATTTTTTAAAATTGTGGAATTTCAGATTTTTGAGATCAACTCATCTCATAGTTTTGCAGATGTTATAATAAAACACCTGCACTATAACCTGGGCCCAAATCTTTCTGATTCACTGCCTCTCACTATACTATTCTTAATTCCACATGGCCTGCCTCCTCCTTCCACATCTGTGTATTTATTTCCAAGGTTGGGAGTTTGGTTTTATTGAATCAAATAATAATGGTGAATACTGTGCAAATAATATCAGTACATATAATACATGCTAGGTGTCATGGACCACAACTTTGAATTGAATTGTGGAGTCAGGCAAATACTAGCTACTTAAAATTACTATTGTTATTATTAACTTTGGTTCCTATTCTGGTTACAGGCAAACTATAGAATCACAAGATCTAGGTTTCCTTCTCAGAGGCATCACTCACTGTATAAACTGTAGGAAGCTACTTAAAACTTCTAAAACTCTAAATATGTAAAATAAGGAGCTAAACCAACTTCTGAGTAGGATTTTGTGAGAATTAAATAAATTAATGCTTAGCACAATGCCAGACGATAGTAAGAGTTCAATGAGTGGAAAGCGTAAGAGTGACACTACTTTATGTTGGGAGAAAAGTCTTGGTATGAAATCCACTGTGAAGAATTTCCTTCTCTTCATCCTGGAGTGGTTTTGGTAGAGAAAACCGTGTCACATGGAGAATTTGTCTCCTTAGGGGGAGCAGTGTGCTGTCACCAGTGCTTACTAATATTAATCACTTGCTAGACTTTATTGAGGGATTAACATAAAAAAGAGAGGCAAAGAAATCTTCCCTCTGGACCAGATCCAAACTAAAGGTTTCTAACTTAAGAGGCAGCAGGTGCTCATTTCTTGCTTTGAATTTTTTTATTCCCTCTCTCTCCCTCCATTCCTTCCTTCTTTGTTTTCTTGTAGTGTGATACATGATAGACACACAGAATTATGATTTGATGATCTAATTCACTTTATATTGTCTATATCTATCTGTTCATTTAGGGGAGCTGGACAACTATGAATATTATGAAAATAAGACTTTTTATAGCAATAGACTTTATAAACATATAGGAGTAAAGTTCTAGAATGGAGAAGTTTCAGACAAATGAAAGTTCTATAAGAGGGAGTTAAGGAATCAGAGAGAGTGTGTCACTAACCAGGTCCTTCCTGAAACAGTTTTGTGAGTGGCAACACTTGAGGGGAAAACCAAAAAGGTAAACATTTTCAAGTGTCAAAGCAGGACCATGAGGAGGTATTTGTGGAGAGGTTTTTATATTAGAAAAGATCCAATATTTGGATGGAGCAGGGTGATGGCAAGTGGGACCCATTTTGTCATGTTTTCCTGACCTTAGTGATTTGAGAATAATGGCAGTTGCTTTGCTCCTTCTTCCATATCTTACAAAGGTCCTTTCTTTGGCCTACTCTTGCATGGAACTTATTTGAAGGGAAGAGGATTCTGGAAAATGTAGTCTCTAGTTAAAGTAAACTGACATTACCCAAACTATTACATGATACGTAGTTTTTTTGCAATTGTGGTAAATAGACTAATGGTGCCTCAAATACATCCTAAATGTTAACAAATAGATTTTGGGACTTTGAAGATGTGAACAAATTAAGTTCCTTGTGATGAGATTATTATCGTATGGATTGGTTTAACCAATCTCATTATTCCTTAAAAGGGAAGAACATATTCAGGCTGAGGTCAGAGACTGAGTATGTGACTGAAGAATGATCAAAGATTCTTAGTGTTGCTGTTTTTGAAGGTGGTAGAAGGCCATAAATCAGGGAAAATGGAGGGCTTATCAAAATTGGAAAACACAAGGACCAGAATTCTCCCTAGGGTCTTCAGAAATGATGCAGTGAAACTCCAGAATCAAACCTTGAATTCATATTTTCCAATTAGAAACAGATTTAAAATAACTATGATATTTATTTCTTGGATATGTATATATGTGTATGTATATATGTGTCTATAAAATGAACACAGATATAATGAACTTTATATACATGAGTGTATAAATATAACAGGAGTTTAACTGCATCATTTGCAGCTAATAGTAACCGATAAAGTCCCCTCTAACAAATTTTAAAAGCTGTGTCATTGTGTTGTAATCTAGAAAACCACATATCCAGGTTGAGTCTCATTCAGGGGTTTCTGTTTTATACTTCTGAAACATACGATACAATAATAATCTTGCACTTGCAATAGTAATCTTGAGTATGCACATTAAACCTTTATGATATTAGGTGAAATTAGTCTACAAGAGAACTTTCAAAAAAAGGGTAAGAGTCATAGAAGTCAATTCCTTTAGAGAAAATGAGGCGCCTCAGAGTTTTTATGTGACTTTCATGTTTACTCAGAATAAGGGCTACAATTTTAGCAACTATGCAGACTTTGCTTCCAGCAGAGAATTAGATTTGAACAGGACTCAGTAGATTAGATTTATAGCCAACTAAATAGCCTTCTTGATTGGCTATTAAATAGAAGGTCAGTCTAGAAGAAAAATGGTGGGATTTTTTTTAGTCCAGAGTGACGTATAAATAGTCTGATGAGTCATGAGATAAAGTAGATATTTTAAAACTAACTCAACAGAATATTCAGTTGGCTGCTGTCACCACTGCACAACACAAGAAGTAGGAAGGCCAATTTTTGCTGAGTTCAGTGAGAGACTATGATAAGTAATGGATTTTTTTTTTTATTCTTGTGTGTAGAGTTAGCAATCTAAACTTGACCTGGTTTTCCACATAAAAATAGAAAAAAAAATATTTTTAGGGATTGGAAAGTCAACTTCAGTATTATCCTTAATAGAGGTTTTTTTAAAAGGGAATTCTTTAAATAATAAAAAGATAATCTAGCATCTATCCATGGAAAATTCTTAGCTGTGTTAGAGTTCACCAGTTCTGCAAAAATTAGAACCCAAATAGTTAGAGAGTCTTATGGGAACAAAAAATCTTTCTAGTCATTAGCCAGGTAAAGCCATGAACAACTTGCAATCTTTGGGGGGAAAGAGACTTTCCATTTTGTGTGATGTTATGGCCAAGATAATGCGCTTGGGACTGACAAAATTGGAGTTTATAGATAACACTTTTTGTTTTTCTTATGGTAATGCTATTCTCAAGTGAAGAGAATTATGTAAGATTCTCAGAAAGCATAATAAAAGATCGTTAGCACATTGCTATGAGTGGATTCTTGGGAATAGAATGTCTCTGGTTTATGATTAAGTATTTTCAAGCAGCAAGAGGGTGTTTTTGTAAACCCTGAGGCCTAACTATTCAAGTGATTTTCCCATGTGAATGCAAATAGACACTATAAGTGTATACTAAAGAATTTGAAAATAGAGCTAACACCATGAGGTAAGTAAGTCAGTGATTAAGGATGATACTGAAGTTGGAGAACATAGGAAAGTAGACATGCATACTCATTTAATGAACAGTAAAACTTGCATAAAGCTGTGGCTGCACCTATTTTTGTTTTGTTTGTTTTTGATGGCCATAATGGGTAATACCAGGGATAATGAAGGGACTAATGAGTTGTGTCAAGACATATAATGGACCAAAGCTCTTCAGCAGTCTCTCCTTTTAGTGGGTATTGGGTTAATTCACTAAGGACTTAACCAGATCAATTGAGGCCAGGAAGAGTTCAGCCTCATTTACGTGTCCCAAATCTGAAATATTTCTAACTCAGAAGCTCTTGGAGACAGGCAGATTAAGAACTTGAGATATCAATATAGGAGGTTTCAGGTAATAAAATCTGTGCTATCATTAAACCATTGACTGTGGATTTTTGTCCCAAAGTGGCTGTCTGATCCAAATTTAATAGGGCATTCTATTTTTAAAGTAGGTTTTGTCTCAGCAAAAATCCCTACACAGAAAAATGTGTTGACCAGTACGATATCCCACTAAGACAGGAAGTAATTGAAGTGAAGGCAAAAGTTCAAGGAGCATTTGAGATTCTTACCCTTGAAATATTTTTATTATTTCAAGAAAGGAATAAAACGTCATAGGGCCAACTAGATATTGAGTGTAGTTGCTCCACATGTCCCCCTTTTTGTGGTAAGGACAATTTTGGGTAAAATTGAAATGTTGCAATCCTTACAGAATTAAGTTAGGGTTAATGTTCTTCTGGTGTCCATTTCTTTTAGTAATATGAATATGATTAGATTAATAGTGAGATCTCCTTGCTACTTTACCTGAAGATATATTAATTTGGTCTGCATTTTTTTTTTTTTTTGTAGCTAAAGATTTTTTTGGTCAGCTCTTGCAATTTAGACAGGAAACAAAGACAACATCTTTTGTTACTTTATCCACCTCAGTTTTAAAAATCATCAACACAAAGGTTGCATAGGGTAAATATAATGTTCTCTTTGAGATTGGTATAGGTAAAAGTGACAGTGCCAAGGTCCTTAAAATCTGAGTAAACGCAATATTTTCCCCTGTTTATAAGACTAAATTTTTTACTGAAATTTTCATTAAAAAATAACAGGGATAGCAGCTAAGAGATCATCTACTAATTCATGCACTGTTGTACATTTCTGTTTAAATTTTGCTTCATATGTTTGATGGGATTTTATAATTTTTCTATTCATTTTTTTAACAAACGAGATTAAAAAAAATCTTTGGGTCCAAAACAAGTGTGCATATTAATTGGTAAATTCAGGGAGTCAGGCTGTAAGACCCAAAGACAATTCTCAATTATTCATTGAATGTTTGTTTTTAAGTGTGAGAGAAAAGTGAGTTGTGTAGATCTGATCTTGACCGATATTTGAAGATATAATCACTGATTTGAGGTAAGGTTTTTTCCTACTTATAGAAGCCATTGTGAGGTGTTACTATTCAGTAAGAGGGTTACTTTTAGAAAGGGACAGTAGAAGAAAGACAAAAGCGCTCAGTGATGGTACAAGAAAAGGAACAGGTCAAGGAAGAGGAAATCATCAGCATATTGGGGTCCAGGAGGCAGAGCAGCCCTGAATTAGATCAGGTAAATGAAAAGAGAGTTTACTATTGGATTTTAGATCCTTGCTTTCATTATTAGCCATTTAAAAGCACTCCTTAGGAGAAGAAATGTATAATTTTTATTGAGGTAACAAAAATGGTTTGCAACATTGTATATAATTTGGGGGTTTCACACCTCTTCAGATGTAAAATTTTCCTATATCTTAGTAGGCATTTAGTAGCATTTTAAAAAATACTAAGTATGGATTTCAAGGCACTGCACATTAGATTATCACCTTTACATCTAACATTCTGCAGGGTGGCCACTGAAGTTCTGTTCTTGGGGAAGTACCACTAAATTTCATACATTGTTATGGAGTATTATTTAACCCCATGATATTTGTACTTACGGGAAAATGGACAATGACCCCATAGGATCATTGAATGAGTAGAAATTGCTCATTTTCAAATAATAATAGCAAGAAACACTCAGATCCTGAGAATCTCTGTTTCCAAATTCATTCAAGAGAACTCTGGGTTGTGAAACAAATCAAATAAAGTATTTTCAAAAAGGACAATTACATGGTAGAGTAAAGGTTTAGATAATGTGCATGCATGGGATGAAGCCCTTGTCAGAAGAGAGATGGATTTCTCTATCCAATCACTGGGATTCAGAGAAGCAATGAATGAGGCAAGCATCTGTATTCAGTATGTGTAATGTAATTGGAGATTCATTTCTTTTCCACTGCCACAGAACTTTTCAACCATTGCTACCCATTAGAATAATCAAAAGAGCTTTAAAAATATCAATGCTAAGCACCACACTAACCCCAGAATGATTAATTTAGAATTAATGTATTTTTAAAGCTCTTTGAGTGATTCTAATACCCATCAAAAATTGTGGTAATTCGGGCCTCCCCTGCTGGCGCAGCAGTTTCACGCTGAGCTGTGAAGCTGCCCGCAGCCTCTGCAGCACTGGTTCGATCCCCGGCCACTGGTGAGGGTCCAACATGGCGCGCAGACCTCTCCTGCTGCCCACTGCTCCCTTAAGCAGTGTACTTCCGTCAACCTGCCTGTTCTACTCTCTGCTCTGGCTCTGGTGAATTCTCTCACCCTCCTGTGCCTCTGACTGTACCCAGTGCTTGTATAAATAAATAAATAAATCTGTAAAAAAAAATAGTGATAATTCACCATGTTACTGCAAGAATCACACAACTCTTCCCTCAAACAAGGAAAACTTGATACACACACACATACACACACACACACACAAAATCTTGTC